CAAAAGCTAAAATTGGTCTAAACATGGAAAGATGCAGAGTAATATTTGACCTCAGGATGGAGACAGCAGATGGTAACTGGCTCTAAAACTAGTTGGATAATTTTGCATGTACTATAGATGTTTTTTTCACAGCTTAAAGATGTAACCTTGAAATCATTACCAATTTGTAGGTAAAAGTAGACAGGTAGAATGGGATCAGCAGAGCAGTGGTGCACAGTAGTGTTCTGATTCGAGAGCGAGCAGCAAGATTTGGGAAACTCGGTCATTATAGACTGACTCTGCCTCTGAACACCTATTTCCTGCACCCACTGCCTGTGTTGTCAAAAACAACAACAAAAACACCTGCATCAAGGTCAACCTGACAGGGAGGGAGTAGAGAATGCTCCTATCCCGGGACAAGCCTGAAGCCTGTGAGCAATGCTTGGGATCAGGGTGAAGGCGTACTCATGTGCCACCTCTCCTCAGTGACTCATGGTGGTGTGCTCTGGTGCTTTGAGAATGTGCCCAGCCATGGTGCTTTGGGAAGAAGTCACCTAATCAGAGTTTCATTTATTACAGCCATACGCTGCAACTGATGGCACCCACCATTTAGTTTAGGCACCTGTCCTAACACAACTACCTTCCCCTTGTGCCTGACATAGTAAGCTGTGTGTTCAAGGATATAAAATGATTGTGCACCAAGAATTAAGTCCCATCTCACTGTCTGCCATCTGTGTTCCAGGCATCCGGACAAAAACAAAGATCCCGGAGCAGAAGACAAGTTCATTCAGATTAGCAAGGCTTACGAGGTACCGTGTCTCAGCTGTGATGTCTCTGTTAGCTCTTAGGAGACAGGCCATAGGGGAAACAGCACGCATGAGGACTAGTGTTCAGTCCCCAGAACCCACCTGAATGCCAGGTGGGTGTGATGGCCTACCTGTAATTCTGTCACCCAGAAGACAGAGATCGGGGATCCCTAGGACAAGTTAGACATCCCTACTGGAAAGCTCTGGGTTGTGCCTCAGTCAATAAGGTGGAGAGCAATAGAGCAAGCCTCCTGACATCGACCTTGGTCTTTTACACCTACCTGCACACACATGCAAACACAGATACACGTATACATGCATAGCACAGACATACACATGCAAAAAGAAAGAGGGCCATAGGTGATCATTTCTATAATGTCCCTCAGGCAGGACACATTCCCTGCCCCCTGACCCAGTTTCATCATGATGTTAGAGAAAATATCTTTGGTCACATCCAGCATGTTGAAGCAAGTACCTAACGTCTCAGCTCCTGGAAAACATGGCCCTAGTCAGAGTTGTGAAAGTACCCAGAACGTGTGTCTGTTATGCGTTCAGAGCCCTAACATTAAGAATCCCACATCAATTTGCCTGGTTACACAAGGTTACAAATACCTCTAAACCTGGGGTTGGGGATTTAGCTCAGTGGTAGAGCGCTTGCCTAGCAAGCACAAGTCCCTGGGTTTGGTCCTCAGCTCCGAAAAAAAAGAAAGAAAAAATAACAAATACCTCTAAACACAAGATTTTTGGTAATTCTCCCAATTTGTCAGCTTCAGTAGCTTGGTCTAGAATGTGCACAACCAGTGAGACCCCGGCAGCCTGGTTTGTTGGGGTGATGTTCCTGGTTTGTTGGGGTGATTTCCTGGTTTGTTGGGGTGATGTTCCTGAGCAGACTGTGCTTAGCATGTACATGAATTCTCAAATTTCAGTCAAAGTTAGAGTTCAGTAAAAGCTGGTGGAAGGAGAGAATTGACTCTTGCAAGTTGTCCTCTGACCTCTACACACGTGCTATGACACTTAAGTGCCAACATGCATATGCACATACACACACATACACAGGTACACACTATAAGTAAATGTAAAACAAAACAAAACAAAAACCCTAAAACCAAAAGACAATTCGCATACAAGGCACTGGACTCTGGCTTACCACACCTTGGTTCAAATGAATCCAACTCCAAATGTGCCAGATTAATTTTCTTGTGATCGAATCCTGGTGACCATTGTTGTGTTGGCTCTTGTTGATTATTTATTTGTTTCATTTGTTCACTAAAGTGCTTAACAGTGATGGTTGACACTTTAATGTCAACATGAGCGTGAATATCTAAACAAGTGAGATATTTGGGTTTATGTTTGGGGATTGTGTTTTTGTGTGCGTGTGCGTGTGTGTTTGTACACATTTGCATGCATGTATGTGCATGTATACACATGCTTGTGCACACACATGCCATGGCACACATGTAGAGGTCAGAGGACAACTTGCAGGAGTCAGTTCTTTCCTTCCACCTTGTGGATTCTGGGGGTGGAAATCAGATCATCAGGCTTGGCCATCTCCAACCCATGATGTTTCTTTTGAGAGAAAGGTTTCTTAGTATCCATATCAGCTTCATTTAGGATAATCAGTGAGGTCATAGTTCTCTCCCCGCCTCCTCCTCTCGCTCCCCCTTTTTCCCCTTCCCCCCTCCTCCTTCTCCCCTCCATGCCCCATCCCCCTCCTTCCCCCTCTCCATCTTCTTCTCCATCTCCCCTGCATTTGTCTTTCAAGCTACTTACAGAAAAGTCATTTAGGCTGAGGCTGTGGCTCCATGGTAGAAGGTGTGCCTGGCATGTACAAGGCCAGGGTTCAATCTTCAGCACCGCAAAAAAAAAAAAAACACTTTGTTGTTTAGCTTCCTAATTTTCCTGCTTTTCAGATTCTTTCCAATGAAGAAAAGAGAAGCAACTATGATCACTACGGCGATGCTGGGGAGAGCCAGGGCTACCAGAAGCCACAGCAGCGAGAGTATCGCTTCCGCCACTTCCACGAAAACTTTTACTTTGATGAATCTTTCTTCCACTTCCCTTTCAATTCGGAGCGGCGGGACTCAATCGATGAAAAGTATTTATTGCACTTTTCACACTATGTGAATGAAGTGGTTCCAGATAGCTTCAGGAAACCCTACCTCATCAAGATCACGTCAGATTGGTGCTTCAGCTGTATCCACATCGAGCCTGTTTGGAAAGAAGTAGTCCAGGAGCTGGAAGGCCTAGGTGAGTTTGGGGGTTTTAAAAAATATTTTATTTGTTACTTTTATTTAATGGGTGTGAGTGTATTGCTTACATAAATGTAAGTGCACCCATGTCATGCAATGCCCTTGGAGGTCAGAAGAGAGCGATAGATTCCCCTGGAACTGAAGTTAAGGATGGTTGTTAGCCGCCATGTGGATGCTAGGAATTGAACCTGGGCCCTCTGAAAGAGCAGTCAGTGCTCTTAACTGCTGAGCAATCTCTCCAAGTCATTTTTCATTAGGAGACATTTATACAGAAGAACATGACAGTTTTCCTTCTTAAATTTGATAGAGTGTTAGGGAAAAGGAATGGTCCATGTGCTTTCTTTTCCCAAGTCCATGGTGATTGGTACTTTCCAGGGACATTTCCATAGAGAAAATGTATAAACCACTTTCCTTTAAAAATATTTTTTATTTTATTTGCTATTTTTATTTTGTGTGTATGAGTGTATTGCCTACATGTATGTAAGTGCACCTGTGTGGTTCAGTGCCCAAGGAAGTCAGAAGAGAGTGTTGAATCCCCTGGAACTGGAGTTAGGAATAGTTGTTAGCTGCCATCTGGGTGCTGGGGATCGAATCTGGGTCCTTTGCAAAAATAGCCAGTGCTCTTAACCGCTGAACCATTTCTCCAGTCCCCTTAAAATATTTTTTTTAGTTGTATTTATTGTGAGTAGGTGTGAGTCTGAGAGACATGGGGGGGGGGCCATATGCCACAGTGCATGTATAGAGATCAGAGAACAACTTTGTGGACTTGGTTTTCTCCTTCCACCTTTATGTGGATCAAACTCAGGTTGTTTGGCTTATGTGGCAAGTGTCTCTACCCACTGAGCCATCTTGGTGGCTCACCACTTCCTCTTTGCTTGCTTGATTTGAAGCTTTATCTGTATAGTATCCAAGTCCATTGTTGGAAAGCTGATAATACAATTGAGAAACTGGAAAATCATTGGCTGCCTAAAGCCACCATCAAGCATCCACTTTAACACCATTGGGGATAGCAGATACATGGTATCTGTGGCCTAGTAATTTGCTGGGGCTACCATAAACATATGCCACAGCCTGGGGCTTAGAAAACAGGTTTGAGCCTCAGCACTCGGGGTTAAAAGCAAGTCCATCCTGGGCTACGTGCTGAGCTCTAGGACAGCTTGGGCTACAGAGACAATATAAGATACAGTTTCAAAAGTCAAGGGCTGGGCTGGAGAGATGGCTCAGCCGTTAAGAACACTGTTCTTGCAGTGTTCAAAAGACCCAGGTTCAAATCCTAACACCCACATGGCAGCTAACAGCTGTCCCTAACTCCATTTCCAGGGGATCCAACAGCCTCGTTTGTCCTCCACTGGCATTGCACAACACTGGTGCACTTACCTACATGTAGGCATAACACTTATACACATAAAAATAAAAATAATAAATTAAAAAAATAAAAAAGTCAAGGGCTGTGGAGATGGCTCAGTGAGTAAATGTACTATCTGATCAAGTTGATGACCCAAATTCAATCCCCAGAACCCCCATCATGACCAAGTTACCCCCTGAATGCTGCTCTCTAGATACCCTCAACTGGGGATCAGGGCTTCAATACATAGACTTATGGGGAGAGGACACAAACACTGAGACCATAACACTGTAATGGTCATGGGTACCTGTGTGAAAAATAGCTTCGCCTGGCCTTCATCCATATTAACCAACTTTGCACCAAGAAAATTCTAGTGATTCCAGGATATTTATTTCAGTAACTCCTCAGTGTTGATGTTACTGAATTAAAATTTTGTCACAGCCATGAGGAGACTATTCTTAAGTAATTAAAAAGGGACAAATGAGCCTAGAGACCAAAAGGTCAGATTTCTCTGAAAAGAGGCCACTGCTGGAAATCGTTGGCTCATTTATTCTAAATCAAGTCTTTGGTCTGCTGTTCGGAATCACTCAGGTACTCAAGGTTGGGGAATGCTTTCCTGACCCTGGATGAAATTGCTCTTGGAAACAGCTGAAAGGAAGTTCAGCTTGGTGTCTGACGTGCCAGAGGTGGTCAGCAGCTCTGTGCTGCTGGTGCGTGATGAAGGAGAGTTGGGAGGCCGAAAGCACTGACTTGAGTAGCTTCTGTGTCACAAAGCAGTCTTAAGCCACGTTCACATGGTGTAGCGAAAAGGATCTGGGAGCAGCATGGATGCTAAATCTCTATATCCAGGGGTTTGGGGGGGGGTTGTTTGTTTTTAATGTGTATGAGTATATTGCCTGCGTGTGTATAAGTGCATTCGTGTCATGCAATGCCCGTGGAGGTCAGAAGAAGGTGCCAGATCCCCTGGAACTTGAGTTACAGATGTTTTTTAGCTGCCATGTGGGTGCTGGGAATTGAACCCGGGTCTTCTGCAAGAGCAGTCAGTGCCCTTAACCACTGAGCCATCTCTCCTGCCCCAATGTATGCATTTTATTTATTATAACTATTATTTACATTGTAAATTGTGTATATGTGTGCACATGCATGAATGTGTGCCATGGTACACATGTGGAGGCCAGACGATAACTTTCCAGAGTTGGTTCTCTGTTTCTATCGTGTGTGTTCAGGGAGCGAGCTTAAGTCAGCAGGCACAGCAGTGGCAAGTGCGTTTACTCACCAAACCATCTCACCAGTGTGTGTGTGTGTGTGTGTGTGTGTGTGTCTGTCTGTGTACATGTATACATGTGTGTATGTGCACATGTGAGGGGGGTGCCTGCAGAGGCAAGAAGAAGGCATTGGATCCCCTGGAATGGGACTTACCAGCAGTTGTGAGCCACATGATGTGGGTGCTAGGAATTGAACTGCAGTCCTCTGCAAGAGCAGCAAGTGCTCTTAACTCTGAACCATGTCTCCAGTCCCCTACATTACATTAAACATATTAGGCACGCATACATGATAGGAGGCAGCAGAGGATAGTGATTACAGCTGATAGCTTGGGGCTCAAGTAAGCCAGTGCTCAAATCTCAGCTCTCATTTGTATCCTTTGGACAGGTTACTTAATCCAAGTTTTCTCTTTGGCACTGGTAGGTTGAACTCAGAACTTTGAGCATACGAGAATAGGCTGAGCCACATCCTTGGCCTTTAACTCAGCTTTCTTTACCTCAAAAGCAGGAGGAGCAACAAGGGCAAACCAACGCATCATTAGGAAGATTAAACGAGAAGGGTGCTCAGTGCTGGTGTTTAAGTACTTTAGTAAATTAACTTTACAGGATTCCTGATTAACTGAGTTTTCTGGCTTACCAAAGTAAATTTTTAAAGTCATGTTAAAAAAAAAATTTATGTTAATGTTTTATTGTGTGTGTATATTTGTGTATGTGTGTGGACCCAAGTGCCACAACGTGCCTGTAGAAATTAGAGGACAACTTACAGAAGTCAGTTCTCTCTACTCTGTGGGTCCCAGTGATTGAACCCAGGTCCTCAGGCTTGGCAGTAAGCACCTTTTACCCACTGAACCATCTCCTTAGCCCTAAAGTAATTTTTTAAAATTTGATTTAATTTTTTATTGAATTTTTGTGAATTTCATACAATATATTTTGATCACATTTAGATTCCCTCCATATCTGCACCCCCCCTTGCTAGCCCTCCACCAAATTTCCTATACTCTGACATATACATTAAGGCCTATAGAGTCAGGTTTGTGTCCCCAGATGCCCTTCCATGTGGGTTCATTCACTCAAGCCTGGTCAGCTTCCCCAAATCTCACCTTGAACAAAACTGACTCTCCTTCCCAGCAGCCATCAATTGCCAATAGTCCCTCAGGTCCAAAGTAAATTTTCAAGTCCCTATTTTATAAACCCTTTTGGGAATCCTCTCTTACGTGTAAGCCCACTTTCTTCAATTCACCAACAACAAGACGCAACTTTTAACTAGTTTTGAGCAGAGCCTTCAGAGGAGGAGAAGTCGGCAGGGCAGGAAAGCCAGGGGTAGCCATCACAGCCACAGGCAAAGCGTGCCGCAGACCGTCTGTGGCCAGGGAGCTGTGTGCGCCAGAGAAGAGGAAGCAGGGAGAGCCTGCCAGGGAGGAAGCAGCCTTCAAGTCCAGGCCAGGGAAACTGGGCTATGCTCTGGTATTTAAGAGGGCCAAGAAAAGTTATTCATGGGGAAGTGACCCAACAGCTCCCTACTCCAGAAAGCTGACTGGCAATGCCTCGTGAGAGGCAGATTGAAGAGGGCAGGGAGGTTGCCAGGCTGGCACCACTGGCCTGAACTAGGGCAGCCAGAACAGAGCAAGGTAGATGGGTAGACAGGGCCTTTCAGGAGTCCTGGAGGGACCTAGCTTCTGGAACCATTTGCATGTCCAAAAGGAGAGGAGAGGAGGAGAGGAGGAGAGGGTCCAGAGCGACCCTGCACTTGAGCTGTGAGTGGCAGGGATCACAGTGGGCAAGAGCTAAACTGGGGGAGTGGTTTGAAATGCCAGCTAGAATGTAGGCATCCGGTGTGAAATGATACAGGTATAATTGTAATGGTAGCTTAGATTTACTGAGTTTACCACTGCCGAGTGCCATTAACAGTGCTACTAGTATTAAGCAGTAATTCTGTAGGGCAGGTAGACCATTGATGTCCTTTTTATAGGTAAGTCATTCATTTTTGGTGTCTTGTCCAAGGTCACAGTTGGTGTTTGACAGTTCTGGGAGTCCAACCCAGATGGTCTGGCTACTTACTGTCAGTGTGCACGTAGAACCACGGTGCCACTCCAACTCTAGATGCCCTTAAACCCTTGATGATTTAAAGACCTTACTGTTCTTTGGGGTTGTTGTACTGATATTTGTAGTAAATTGGGATCCAAAACAATAAAGATAAAGAAGCTAGAATTAGCATCCATAGAACTGACATTGTATTCATCCATCCCCTAACCTCTCCACAAATACCATGGAAAACAGGTTGTGACCAGATGTATTCAGTTAAATTTATAGCCGTGTTTTCCTTTGGGACATTGAGATTCTTTTTGATGCTGTTGAAACAGTATCACTTTATTCCCCAGGCTAGCTGCAAAC